AAATTCATGTTTTTCCCACATGCAAAACACATTCACTATGTCACATCATCCCAAAAGTCTTAAATCAACTCCAAGTCCAAAATCTCATCTTCTGAATCATCTAAATCAAATATGGGTGAGACTTTAAACATATTCCATCCTTGTGCAAAATTCCTCTTCATCTCTGAACCTGTGAAACACAGAATACAATTTACCTGCTTCCAGACTAATTGGTAGAATAGGCACAAGATAGACATTTCCATTATAAATGGGAAAAATTGGAAGGAAAGAAGACATAGCAGGTTCCAAGCAAGTCTAAAAGCCAGCAGAACAATTTACATTAACTCTCAAGCATGGAAATAATCCTCTCTTCTCTGAGACCATCTAGACAGTGGCCCTGCCCTTCAGACATTGGTTGTTGGCCATACCCTCTGGATTCTGGATGGAGATCCCTCAGCCCTAGGCTTCAGCTCTGACTTCCTGGCCATTGAAATGGCAATTCTGCTCCCTCAATTTTGGGTGGCCTCATTCTCCTTGTTTATCTGAGTGGTGATGCCATTCCCTCATCCCTTGCAGGTACCATTTTTCTGCCCTTTGAGCATGGTAGCTCTCATCTTTGGATAATGACCCTTTCCTCTTGGCAAACTGAATGAAGGGCAGTCCCATACTCCAGAACCAAGTTGGTGAAGATCTGACTCTTTGAGACCTAGGAATCATGGCCCTTTGACACCGCAAAGGCCATGGGCCCATTGTTTGAGACCAAAGAGGCTCTGCTTCTTGTGCTCTTTCCAACAGGTTTGCTGATCTACGAGTTGTTCCAAGGATGGTTCTTTTCTTGGAGGACAACAGATGTATCTCCTTTAGCTAGTTTCCCTCCTATAGAATTCCAAGAGTCAGAGTTCTCTCATTTTCTTCTTTCTCTGTCCCCTTTAGTCTAAGCTAATGGATTTTCTACTGTGGTAGTTGGTTAGATCCATCAGCCACAGGCTTAATCTCTTTAACAAAAGATTGTGTAGCCACACATTTGGTGAACATTGTAAGGCAGAAGTCCTTAGTTGGTGCAACAGAATTTTCTAGATATTCAAGTCTTATTTTCATATTGCACAGTTCATTTTTAAGTCCATCTCTTTCCTCTAGCATTTCACTATAAGCAGCAAGGAGAAATCATGTGGTCCCTTTAAGATCTTGTTTAGAAATCTCCTCAGCCAGTTATCCAACTTAATCACTCTTCTGGTTACCTACTGCCACTGACAAGAATATACCACAAAGGGGATGGTCTTATCAAACAGAAATTCATTCCCTTATAGTTTGGAGGCTTTATGTCCGAGTTCAAAGTGCCAGGCTGTAGGGGCTGGGTGAAAGCTCCCCAACCTTGGGCTTCAGCTCTGCCTTCTGCTCCTGGTCCACTGAAGCTAGGGGCTTTTCTTCACTCAGACAGCTGCTGACTGCTGAGGCTGACAAGCCCAAGGTTGACAAGTAAAAAGTTACAGTCCCAATGTTACCAAACCACATGGCAGGCCATTCATTCAAGCCCATTGAAAATCCCAAGATTGGCAGAACATGGCAGGCTGCCTGAACAATGACACAGCTACTTGCAGGGTTCAAGTGTGCCATAAGCTAGGGACCGTTCCTTAAGGTTTCTCCTTATACGCAGAAACAGACCACATCCCTAAGGCAGATACTCAGCTGGTCACAGTAGATTCCACCATGGAGTTGATTACCAGTCTCATCATGAGTTGTCAACTCAACTTTTTACAGGTGTGCCATTTACTGACAGCAAGTACAGTAGTTGGCTGTGCAACCCCAACCCTATCATTAATAAATGCCATATATCGATCACCATTAATCCCTTCTTTTCCCCTCCCGCTCACCTCTGGTTACCACTAATAAACATTGTTCTTTATGCATTTGCCTTTTTATATAATTGATATCTTAGTTATCTAGTGCTGCATTTAAATACTACAAGTGGATGGCTTTAACAAACAAACTTATTTACTCACAGTTTATTGTTGTTGTTCTGTGCCATCGAGTCAGACCCAACTCATAGCAATCCTTCCTTGGGTTTCCGAGGCAGTATCACTACGGAAGTAGATTGCCCCATCTAACTTCCGAGGAGTGGCTGGTGGGTTTGAACCACCGGCCTTCTGGTTAGCAGTCAAGTGCCTTTAGCCACTATGCTACCAGAGGTCACAGTTTAAGAGGGTAGAAATCTGAAATCAAGGTGCCAGTTCTAGGGGAACTGCCCAGCCACTCAACCAGGCCCAGCCAAGTTGACTCACAAACTTAACTACCACAATCATTTACAAGTTCTACCTTCCACCAAACATTTGAACATAATTTAGACAAGTTTTTTGCCACTACATAAAAAGCATCACCTTTCCTCCAGTGTCCAATCACATGTTCATCATTTTCTTTCAAAGCTTCACCTGAAACAGTTTATGTCCACATTTCTAGCAATATTCTGTAACTTCTGTCATATTATTCCCTAATATGGTACGGAGCTCTTCTTACTTCCTTCTGAGCTCTCACCAGAATTGCCTTTGACATCCATAATTATACCAACAATGTCTTCAAGACAACCTAGGCTTTTACTATTAGGTACCTTAAAATTCTTCCAGCTTCTCCCGATTACCCAATTCTGAAACTATTTCCATGTTTTGGTATTTTTTACAGAAACATTCCCACTTCTTGGTACCAAATTCTGTATTATTTATCTAGTGCTGCTATAACAGAAATACCACAAATGGATGCCTTTAACGAACAAAAATTTATTTTCTCACAGTTTGCCAGAAGTCCAAAATCAGGAAACTGGCTCTAAGGGAAGACTTTTTCTCCTTGTCAGCTTTGGGATAAAGTCCTTGTCTTTTCAGCCTCTGCTTCCTAGTTCCTGGGGGATCTCAATGTGGCTTGGCATCTATCTTTCCCATTTCTGCTTCTTTTGCACAATGATCCTTCTTTCCCATTTCTGCTTCTTTTGCACAATGTGTTGACACATTCTAAAAGGAGCATAGAGAAGGGTAAGAGCTCTCCAGACAGAGAAGGGAGATTTGTGGTTAACATACCATTTGCTATTGGAAAGTAAAATGGAGTGTTAACATTTCTTTGACATTCTTGTTGGCTGGTTACACAGACCGTTAACCTGGCTTCTAGAGGACAGCCTGCTGGGCAGGTCCTCTCTGTGTTTATAGCAGCCCTGCCTGCACCTTGCAATGCAACTAAGTGCTCAAGAATGTTTGTCAGTATGAAACATCCCTTAGTGGTCTTAAGGACACTTTTTCATTTATTTATCAGACTGTTTCCTCATGGATAGGACAAAAGTAAATAGCTCTATGTCTGTCTAGAGGTTCATAGTCCTAACATTCATTGTCTGAGGCTTCCTGAGGCTTATTTTCTTTCTTTAGTGGAATAGTTCTTCTAGCTGACCAGGATAAAAGAACCTTGACCTGCAAAATGCTTCTGCATCACTAGTCTATATATAGTTGTGGCTATTTCAAAGTTGCAAATGATTAACACTTCAGCTGCTAACTGGAAGGTTGAACATTTGAGTCCACCAAGATACACCTCAGAAGAAAGGCCTGGCAATCTACTTCTACAAGATCAGTCACTGAAAACCCTATGGAGACAGTTCTTCTCTTAACATACATGGGGTTGCCATGAATTGGAGGTGAATTGATGAGAATTTTTTTTTCTCATTCATTTTTGTAAAGCTTGTAATACTTTAAACCATCTTATTCTGAAGAAAGTATCTTTCAAGGAATGTAGCTACTTTAAAAATGGCCCCACCCTTGAATTGCTAGCATTCATCAAACACACTGGGGATGGAGCCAGCTGCCAATTGGCTCTATGTTTGATCTTTGAACAGAATTGTTGCTAAGCTCTGATGCTCCCTAGAATTGTGCCTACCAGAAGAGTTTCTGGTCCATATTTGGAGCAGAGGCCCCTGCCCCTTTGTCTGAGGAGTAGGAGGGCCTCCAACACGTTGCCCCTGACTATCCTTATTCTAATTGATTATGCTATGGGCCAGAGTCCCCCCAATTGGCCCAGGTTGCACACAGATGCCTAGGGGCAAGGAGTCCTACCCAATATAGCCTACACAGGGTGAGTTAGTAGGTTCTTCCTATCAATCTCTAAGTCCTTGAAATGGGTACTTCTCATGCAACTTATGAGCCCGATTACCCGGTAAGGCCTAGACTCTACCCCAGAGGACCTACTGAATCCTAGCTTCAATAGGTGGTGTCACCTCTAGGCCAATCTACTTCCGTAGTGGTATCACATCAGAAACCCAAGGAGGGGTTGCTATGAGTTGGATCCAACCCGATGGCAGTGAGGTGTTTTTTTGTTTGTTTGTTTGTTTGTTTTCGGTGGTAAAGAGTTATCCTAAGTGATCGCCTCCAAGACATCTGGACATCCTGAGGATGTGAAATTAAATATCTCTGTCAGTCTGTCTCCTGCCTTTCTTTCTCTTTATGTACATAACATTATTATATTATAAATAGTAATGACGAGCTGCTTCTTCCTTTGTGAAAATAGGCTTTAAGTTTGGAGAGTTTAGATAAAAACAACATGGAGAGTTTAGATTTAAAAAAAAAAGCCTTCCTCAGTCAGTTGTTAACATTTAGGATAACAGGCCATGAAATATCGTTTTCAAGGTGTCTCCCCAAACAGAGTACATTCTTATCATCTGAATGGATTTAGGTGTGGCCCATCTAAAGTCTAAGAATCATGCCATTTCAGAATTTTTGTTCCATTAAAATAACACGAGGGACAAAGCACAGTAAAAAGTCTCATGAAATAAGGCAGGTAGCGTAACATTAACGTAATGCCTGCATGTGCAACTGGAGGTGTCTACAGTGACCCTCAGGAGACTCAGGGGTTAGGATTCCAGTCCACAGTGTAAACTCCCAGGCCCATTTATTGAAAGTAGAAGATGATGGTACAACACCCATAAGAGGATAGATTGTAGCTAATAATAAGCTCGCCAGTGTCAACTATTATGTGTTTTCTTTCCCTGCTTACGCTAGGTGAAGTGTTACCACAAGAAGTACCGCTCGGCCACCCGTGATGTCATCTTCCGCCTGCAGTTTCACACTGGGGCTGTCCAGGACTATGGGCTTATGTTTGGAAAGGAGGATCTGGATAATGCCAACACAGGTGAGATTCTGCTGCTCAGTGTGTGGGGAGAGGAATGCTACGCTCACATGTTGGGAGTGCTTCTATAGTTGGTTGTCTGTTTCTTCTCTATTTTCTCCACCCGCCTCCATAAATCCCCCTTCCCCATGATTCCATTCTATTCAGAAAATTATTATCAGCCTCAAGAAAAGCTGATAACTGATCCATTAAAGAACAAAATTGTAGAAAAAACAATGAAACTACCAATATGTCCTATGCTCCTGGGTATGTTTATTGCTGATTGGTGGTGTAGTGGTTAAGGCATTTGGCTGCTAACCAGAAGGTTGATGGTTCAAACCCACCAGCTGCTCCAGGGAAGAAAGACGGGGTAATTTGCTTCAGTAAAGATTTATCAGCCTTGGAAACCCAGTGGAGGTTGCTATAAGTCAGGATCAACTCGATGGCCAGTGAGTTAGTTGATTTTTTTTTTTTTTCCCCTTGGCTGGACTGTTAAGGACAGAATGAATACCTAAGACCCATTCATTTTTTTGGTTCATTATCTCCAAATTTGCTGAAATACACTTTCTCACTTTCTCTTTTAGATGACCGTTTTCCTGACTATGGGAAAATTGAATTAGTCTTCTCAGCCACTCCTGAGAAGATCCAAGGTGGGTAGACTGGTTGAACACTGAGTGACCTGATGTTGGAGGAGGTTGAAGATGGTGATGGGTGTATTCAGTGGTTGTACATGGCTCTCGCCTTTGTCCATGCTTGGAATCTTCATAGTAAAAAAAAAAAAAAAAAATGGGAAAAATTTGAATATTGGACAATGGGGAGGGGATGGCTTAGAGAAAATAGGCAGCAGAGACTTGAAAGATGGCATGACTAACCCAAGCTACTCAGCCAAGTTGGGGCAGAGCTGTGTATGGAACCTCCAAGCCTGGGGATGTACCTTGTTGTTGGTTTTGAAATTCTAGCCCTTGATATTATGCTGAATATTTACTTTTCCCTCAATGAAAAACCAAAAGTTTTTTCTAAAAAAAAATTAGAAGCAGTGGTCTGAAAGTATTTATTTATAAAAGAAATTCTCCTTTCTTATAAAAATACACTTAAAAAGAAAGTGTCTCTTTATTGTTAAGGTGATTGATTCAGTTCCATCACTAGGGAAGATAAGCATAAAGATTTTAATTCAAATTTTAATAGCTATGGGATATACTTGCCCTTTTTAAAATACTCACTGTTGTAGAATTAGTCATCTCATAGAGTTAAATGCAAGATTTGTGTGGCAGAATCATCCCAGTGTTCTTAGAATGGTTTAAGGAAGGAGCAGAGATCTAGGAGTCCAGAAGGCCCGAACACAGAAGGCCTGTGCCTCTCCCATGCATCTGCTGTGGGACTGAGTTATGCCTCTAGACCTATTTCCTGAGCTAGACCATGTTCTTTGTGTTCCTGTTTTTCAGAAGTAACACTCAGAGCCTAGCACTCAGTAGCGAGTGACAAATTCTCAACTCTCCTTTTCCTAAGTGATTTCAACTGGTATTTAGTTTGCTGAAAATGCATAGTATCTCTTTATTAATGCAATGACATATAGAAGGAGGGGTGCGGCATCTGGATGCTTCACTTTTACCACTGAAATCTGACCAACTCATCTGCCTTTGTCAGGTGGGTTTGATGGGCAGAAGTGCTAGGTTGCCTAGGACTAATGCTGTCTGCTTGTACTTGTTCAGGGTCTGATTTTCACAGTGACCATGGAGTGATTGTTGACTACAACACTGCAGACCCACTGATTCGCTGGGACTCCTATGAGAACCTGAGTGCAGATGGAGAAGGTATGTGGAGTTATCTTGTGTGCATACTCACTGGGAAGAAGAGACAGACAAAACAGCTATTCATATTTATATGGGAAATACACCACAGTATGCTCAGAAGATGAAATGCTACTGTATTTCAGAGATGCAGAACACATATCACTTTGTGATAGAGTTTGAGGGTGAGCATGAGGAGCAGGCTGGTGGAATTTTGGTCAGTGCTTTGCAGCCTGGGGGGCGGCCAGTCAATGAAGTTACATATAGGACATTCCTTGACAGAAATGTTGCTTGTGTATTCTCAAGGACCATGTCCCCTGATTCCTTTCTTTCCTCCCTGTTTGTATATGGTGAATGCCAAAGTGTCTAGTCATGGACAGTCTTCCTACTATTATGCAACCATATAGGCCAGAGACATTTGTTTTTACTGATGCTTGCTTGGTACTCTAGTATCTTTGTTTTAAGGGCATAGCATCGTATGGTCTGCTCTTGTGAGTCCATCTCACCCAATCCTATTCTCTATTCACTAATGGAATGTACAGTTTAGGTCACAGGTTAGAAGCATAAAGGAAGAAAAAGGTATGAAAGGACATCCGTATGTTGAAATTTCTTAAAGAAAAAACTGGAATTGATTTCAAAGAAGAGGAATAAAGGCTTTACCTTGGGTCATACTAAATTTATCCTTTTTTTTTTTTTTTT